TACGTCACAGTCACGTGGTATGTAATCCAGAGCCTCCGTGACGTTACGCGTCGCAGGAGGTCTAGAGTCTAGCCTCTAGCAGGCTCTTTTTTGAAATCATCCAAAAGCCAAACCCGTTGCGAGCTCTAAAAAAGGTGCAATGCTCCGAGAGGTGCGTGATACGTTTTAGTATATGCATACAGCCTTTCTTTCCAACACAACGACAAGGTCTTCCAAGTCATCCAATCACATTGTAAGGATTTCTAATATCCCTCAAATACCTCAACGCGGGCTCGGGAGGGTACTCATGTCGCAAGGGGACCCTCGCAGCACTCTGCGCTATGTATACCTAAAAGTGAGTACCATAACAGACACCCCATCTTCTTAAACTCGTTTGCTCACTTTATTTTGTCTCTTTCTGATTACCACAATCTCTTTACCTAGAAACAATGAACCCTCCTCGCGAAGAAGCTCTCCAATTCGCAAAGTCGAGCAGAAAAGAAAACCGCGTGTACGTTGCTAATCTCAGCTACACAGTCAATTATCAGGAACTTGCAGAGTTCATGAGTGCTGGTAAAATTATACTTTGTCATTTGGTTATTTGGATTCTGAATTTATTACAAACACTTTCGATAGCTGGAGAAGTTTTATTCTCCGAGATAATGTCCACGTTTGCAGGAACGTCTAAGGGATGTGGGTGAGAGCCATTTAGTATTTTTTGTATATATTATTGCTTAATGTTTTAAATGGTGCTATCGTCTACAGTTTAGTTGAATACAAGAACGAAGAAGACGCCCAACGAGCGATCAGAGAGCTAACTGATGTCTCGCTTCATGGCAGACCAGTGTGGATCCGTGGGGTGAGCGTATCCTTACTACGTATGCTCGTTTGGGGTATTCGGCTCTTATTCACGGACCCTCCATCAGGACAGGGAAACTGAGCCTCGATTTGGCCAAAACCATCCGCCTACTGCTGGCACTCTACTGAATCCAAAGTCAGGCTCATTGGAGGAACGACTCGGAACGCATTCTCCCGTTTATAACACGGATGACGACTTATCGGTGCCTCGAGCTCAAAGTCAGACGAATCAGCTTTACGTCGGGAACGTGAGTGGATTTTCGCATTTACTTTCGTGTTTCGATCCTTTGCATCAGAGATTGCGTGTTATCTGCATCGGATGTTGAATCACTGTCACTACGTGTATAGATCCCATTCCAAGCCTCATGGCAAGACCTAAAAGACCTCTTCCGTGCCTCCACTTCCGATGCGCTTCCATCTGGTCTTTGTCCTATCAGAGCAGATATAGCTTTAGGTGAAGGTGAGTTTGTCCGAGACCTGTGTGGGTATACTCGTTCTGGTACCCCGAACTTCTGACTCGAACTCACTAATGTAAAAAAAAATCCCTGTTCCAAAATTGCAAAAAAAGACGGTCGTTCGAGAGGTTACGGAATCGTCTCATTCTCGACTTCCGAAGAAGCAGAGAAAGCGGTAAAAATGTTCTCTGGGTATGAATGGTATGGAAGAGTGATCGAAGTGAGAGAGGTTAGTATATAAGCTGTTGCTTGAGGTTAAAACCTTGGTTCATGACACGATTTTGATGAACTTACTGCATTTACATCAGGACCGTTACGCTGGCTTGACGGGATTCATTGCAAAGCCATATACGACGAGCGATAGACATCGTCGTGGGGGTTACAGAGGATCTTACCGCGGAGGGTTAAGGGGAGGAAGAGGTTTTCAAGTATGAACTATAGACCTCCGAGTCAGTTGTTGTCACCATCGTTATGCGTCAAGGAATGTTACTGCATCTATCTCTTGATGTATTTCTGCAATAAGTTCTGTGTTTTTGTCTACTCCGAGTTGTGCCCTTAATAATCTCTGGTTGAAAGAATCAAAGTCTCATATGGATGTTTATAGGACGTGACAAAGTCAATTTTTTTACTCTGTTCGATGAGAATTAAACGTATTTTCTGCCGAGGATATAAGCTAAGAATAACACGATATTCCGGTACGTTGAGGATGAGCCTGAAGATGTACGAAGTTGGACATAAGTAGTAGTCAAAAATGATTGTAAGATTTATAGTGAACTTCAATCTGTCTATTCTCAATGTCAGTTCACTTTCGGTGGAATTGGTGCTAGCAAGGTCTGGAGCAATATTTATGGTTGATGTCTTCATGCCAAATTTGCTGTTAAATACACCAACAGAAATGAGATGAGATTAAGAAGCTCTCGGACAAATCAGTCAACGAATGAAGTTGTAAGTACTTGTGTGTCTATGTACACACATGCTTCGTTTTTCATAAGTCACTTTGCCGGAGTGGTTAACGGGATGGCCTGCTATCTCTTAGCATCTAGCCATTGGGCTTTGCCCGCGTGTGTTCGAATCGCACAGGTGACGCTTCTTTTTGCTTTTCTCCGGATGTTAGGTCGCTTTTATGTTGTGTATCGTTAAAACGGAGAAGTAGGCTACGCCTCAAGCTAAGTCCAAGTCATTCTCTTTCATCCGTTCAATAACTGCTCGCAGTCTATGTGGCACGTAATCATTCCTAATCTACACTATGGTAAAATTACATCTGATTCGTTCATTTTACAAGACGTAAATCACTGTTGTCGAGTGTCAGAAGACGATCGCAAGGTTATGAAGAATACGGACTTACCGTCTTTTACTTCTCTCGGGTGTGATCAATAATCCCCTTTTTCTGGAGAGAGGGAACCAATTTACAATGCGTTCTATATCCGTCTCCCATTCCCCTGAATCTCCACATGGTTTGAAAACAATCCTCACCTCCTTCAAGTCGGATAAAGGCAAAGTGGTTGAGAGTTTCCAGTCCAACTGCATAAATGGAGCGAATAGATGCACGTCCTGGATATCAGCATGCAAAGAAAGACAATGGAGCTTGGAAGGGAGTGCAGAGATCAAAGTGACAATGAACTCTATCTGCCGAGTCCATCCATGACAAATGGAGAGACCTTTAAGCTCCAAAAGTTCGAGTTCAGTGGCATCTTGTAAGTAATCCATGGCGGTGACACCCATCCATAAGACTTTTGGATTGACGAGTTAGTTGTATAAGGATAGTAGGAAACAATACTGGTAACTTACAATCACGGACATCCAGACATAAGCGAGTAAGAGATCCTGGGCAACGTGAAAGAATTTTAGGGTAGTTTCCGTCCTCTGGAGCAGTTTGTGACATAATTGGCTTCAGCTGTGTGCTCAAGTCAAGTGTCTGTAGCCCGGAGATATCGAAGATCGAGTCAGGGTTGAGGAATAAGACACCTAGTAGCCTGTCATCAGGATCTCTAAAATCTAGTTTCTTCAAACGAGGTCGTTGTACACAAGAGATAACGGGCATGTCAATTCCGAGTAACGCGTCTTGTATATGGACGGAAATTAATCCAAGATTGTGGAAGTTGACGTGTTGGCTGAGAGAAGACAATACGCTCAACATTTCAGACCTTTTTCTGAAGGTGACACTATCGAGGTGAAGAGTTTCAAGCGACGAATTGTTTCGTAAAAGCATAGAAAGTGATTGACCGTCAATCTCCGAGTCGTAAGAAGACCTGGCATTTTTGCTCCCCAGTTCGATTTCTGTGAGAGCCGTGAAGGGCAATAGTCCGAAAGGAAGGAGCCAGTGTCTTTCCCCGTTAACGTGCCAATCAGTCTGTGTGAGGTGACCCTCGCAGACTGTCAATTTCCTGACATGAGATAAAAGCTCTGGAGAAAGTCCAGTCAGGTGATCACGATCTAGCAGAGGTTGTACGCGTTGCCTAAATTTGTCGGTTGCACGATAATGATCACGAGGATTAGTCCTCAGGATGAGCTCGCGAAACAAATGTTTTTGAGCTTGCGGAAGAAAGGCTTTGCAGGTCAGGCTGCACGCCTTGAGGGTTGACGTAAAATCCTGGGGTACGCTGGAATCTTGTCGTAAATCCTGAATCCAGTCTATCAACGTATCGATGAGCTCTTGAGGAAGTAGGAGTTGGCTCGGAGGAGTTGGTTCAGTTTCCATAATATCTGCTTGGATTTGGTGAGTGGGACTACTGGTGTAGAGGGAAAGCTTACGCAGAGGAACACTTGATGATGGTGGTAAGTTGTAAAAGTGCATGGAAACGCTTGTCGGCGCCTTTAATTGAAACTCCGAAACTCCGCGCGCCTAAAGGCGATCAAAATCTTCTATCAACTGCTCTAGGATCCCCTGAAAAATAGAAAGATGTGTAAGTCAAGGGATTGAAGGTAAGTGTCAGTTTTTGAATTTGGATGATACACCTCAATACTAAATTGCCCACAAGCTAAGTACATTAAGCTCGAGTGGGCCACCGCAAGCGTGGTAAGTACCATGATTTGACCATGATCGACCATTCCCGGGCCGAGGAATTCTGAAGCTTCCTTCTCCAAACAGAACCACATCACGGACTATCCTTCGTAAACGTTTAAACTCCGGTCTCGTAATTAGACAGTGCATATAATCATATACTGTAGCATTTCGTTCAATTCGCTCACCGTTACCGCGACCGGTGGAGCGAATGACCGAGAAAAATTGAACATTCTGTTCGCGATTTTCAGACCGATGATACACACTGGTAAGTACTAAGTGGCACTCATTGCTCAATTCTTATATCTGTTCTCATGTAGGTAATATTAAGTACAAAAAAAAATTAAAAACTATGATGCTGTCCAAAAATTGTGAGTGTGACACACTTGGTAGGCATTTCACTCATGAGGCATCGTTACCGCGGACACCACCCAATATCCGCGTATTTTGACAAGGTGCGTGCTGCGTGACACGCGAATTGAATGAAATGCTATAGTAGTAAAGAATGATTGTAAGATTCTTCAAACTGCCTATTCTCAATGTCGGTTCACTCTCAGTGCTAGCCAGGTCTGGAGAAATATCTATGGCTGATGTCTTCATTCCAAATTTGCTGCTAAATTCACCAACAGAGATGAGATGAGAATAAGAAGCTCTCGGACAGGTCATGAAGTTATAAGTAACTACTTATGTGTTCATGCATGTTCATAGTCACTTTGCCGGAGGTAGGTTAACGGGATGGCCTGCTATCTCTTAGTATCCAGCCATTGGGCTTTACCCGCGTGTGTTCGAAGCGCACAGGTGACACTTCTTTTTGCTTTTCATCCAGATGTTAGGCCGCTTTTATGTTGTGTATTGTTATAAGGGTATGTAATGTGTGAGAGGTCAACGCCTCAAGCTAACTCCAAATCATTCTCTTGTCCGTCTAACTGTTCACGGTCTATGTGATAATATCATTCCTAACCTACACTACAGTAAAATTACATCCGATTCGTTCATTTTACAGGACATAAATCACTGTTCTCGAGTATCAGAAGACGATCGCAAGGCTATGAAGAACACAGACTTACCGTCTTCTACTTATCTCGGGTGTGATCAATAATCCCTTTTCTGTCGAGTCCAGGAACGAGTTTACAATGCGTTGCATATCCGTCTCCCCTTCCACTGGATGTCCATACTGTTCGAAAACAATCTTCACCTCTTTCAGGTTGGGCGATAAATACAGAGTGTTTGCGAGGTCCAAGTCCAACTCCATAAATTGATTGTATAGATGCGCGTCGCGGATATCAGCATGCAAAGAAAGACAACGGAGCTTGGCAGGGAGTGCAGAGATCAAAGTGACAATGAATTCTATCTGCTGAGTCCATCCATGACGAATGGACAGACCTTTAAGCTCCAAAAGTTCGAGTTCAGTGGCATCCTGCAAGTAATCCATGGTGGTGACACCCATCCATAAGACTTTTGGATTGAAAAGTTAGTTAGATAAAAATAGTAGGAACAATACTGATAACTTACAATCACGGACATCCAGACATAAGCGAGTAAGAGATCCTGGGCAACGTGAAAGAATTTTAGGGTAATTTCCGTCCTCTGGAGCAGTTTGTGACATAATTGGCTTCAGCTGTGTGCTCAAGTCAAGTGTCTGTAGCTCGGAGATATCGAAGATCGAGTCAGAGTTGAGGAATAGGACGCCTAGTAGCCTGTCATCAGGATCTCTGAAATCTAGGTTTTTCAAACGAGGCCGTTGTACACAAGAGATAACGGGCGTCTCGGTTCCACTCAACGCGTCTTGTATATGGACGGATATTAATCCAAGATTGTGAAAGTCGACATGTTGGCTGAGAGAAGACAATAAGCTCAACATTTCAGTCCTTTTACTAAGGGTGACGCTTTCGAGGTGAAGAGTTTCAAGCGACAAATTGTTTCGTAAAAGCATAGAGAGTGATGGACCGTCAATATCGTAAGAAGACCTGGCATATTTGTTCCCCAGTTCAATTTCTGTGAGAGCCGTGAAGGGCAATAGTCCGAAAGGAAGGAGACGGTGTCTTTCCCCGTTGACGTGCCAATCAGTCCTTGTGAAGTGACCCTCGCAGACTGTCAATTTCCTGACAGAAACTATTGGGTCCTTAGCCGTCACCGATGATTGGAAAGCTGAAGCGTTCTTGTCTGATAAGTATTGTGGCTCCGGTTGTAGAAACACCGGCGGGTTTCTCCTCTGGAGTAGCTTAGCCCAGTTCGGTTCCGGCGACTGGCCCTGCTCGTCTCATAGTGGGGAGAGGTGACCCGACGTTAGTTGCGAGTTTATCGGCGTACAGCCATAGAAGAACTGGTCCCTCGGCTTCATCTACGCGAACCTCCTCTAAACCAACACTGTGGATACGTTACCCGACGTGCTTTGTCGATGGACTATATTGTGTGATGTAGATCAGTGAGTAAGAAGTAGTTAGTACGGAGATGAAACGGAAGAAGTAGTCGGATAATTACAGCTGAAGGCCCTGTGAGTCCCTGCGTGTAGTGGGTGCACCCGTCGGATAGTCGCTCTGCGAGATAGACACCTAGAAATCGATACGGTACCACGGTTGGGTTTGTGCCTCCTTCTACGTCCAGAGTGAGACGTGACCCGACAGCACTCTCACTTGGTTTACACGTGGGCCACGGAACATCTTGTGCCACGTCTAAGCTGTCGGTTTCTGCGCCTCTTGTCCTGTCGAGCGCTGTACCGTCAACTCGACTTCTCGAATCTTCGTACCTTTGCGCGCTACCTTCTCCCGCTATACTTACTTATACCGCAATTCTCTTGCTTTTGAAAGTCGCTGGCTTTGTGATTCTAACAGTAGAAAAACGGCGTCCGTCCTAAACCCCCGATGAAGCTGAACTTCGACAGTACAACTCCCGCAATGACTGGGCCTATTACAACTACAAAGCCTATGAAAACTCCCGCCACCTCAACCAGTACCGTTGCTACAACTACCTTCGTCTCGCTCGGGAGTAGACACGGAGTCGTTCTACATCGCTGTAACGAAGCTTTGACCGTGATCCTCGAGTCCTATACCTTCATCTTCAAGTCCTCGTCACAAACGCATGACCTGATGCGGACTAGGATCACTCTAACCATAACTTCTCTGATATCTTCTCTTTATCCTCGGCATAACTGTAGGTGATGCACCGTGGCCCAGGTCGTCATCTGGCCACAACTCCTACCTCGTGGACTTAGTCCGAGCCGAAGCCCCAGGTGCCGCTGAAGCTTTCGATCCCGAGTCAGATGAAGACAAGGATCTCCTCTCCGTAGTTTCGGTCGGCGAAAGCCATTTGTCAGAGTTGTACTTGTCCCTTTCCTTGTCCTAGGTGCTGCCGGAAGGAGTTGATAGAGCCGAAGAAGAAGGCACGTTAGAGAGATAAGTGTCTTAATGTTTGGTGTTCGCTGAAGATAAAGATGACGTTTCAATTTCTGAGGTACCTAATGCGGCTACGGATGTGGGCTAAGGAACTTTTCTTGCTCGGCTTACTGACGGCGACGACAAAGTCAGAACAAAGGAGAGGAAAGAGGGTGAGCAGTAAGATGAGACCATGCTAATAGTATCAACAACGGTCGCAGACCCGTAAATCGAAGCCCCAACTGTTCACCATCATCTGGATCGTTGGGGATGGGGATGAAGGTTCCGATGTGACTTCCCTTGTCGACACCCCTGATACCGATGATCCCTATTCTCAGCCTTAGCTCGAGGACACTTATTATGGTCGGGATTAGGTTTGTCAAGCCCTCCTTTACTTCAACTCCGCCATTCTAAAAACCTCCCACAATGACTACTTAATAATAGCCTACTACATCTTCACCTACTGCTCTTACGACTGTATCTCCTGAGAGTCCCACCAAAAGCTTTTATTCTTCAACCTTCCAAAAAACCCTATAGGACGGAAAAAGAAGCTCTAAATTAAATTAAAGCAGCTGGCTACTCCACCTTCTTTTCACGTTGTGATAGAGGCTGTAGTATTTATTCTTCTGCCAGTTATGCGGTTCGGCTAACAGACCCTAGGCTTGAACAGGGTCTGGACAACTGCGTAAGGGTACCTGGACTCTACCGTATAGAAATCCCAGCTGCTACAACTGCCAACAGTGTTGTAACCCTTGGTTCCACGTCCATCAAATATCCTACGCAAATACCGTTCAAAACACTTCAACAACTTTCTGGGAAAGTGCATGCACCTATTATTGAAACTTCGCCTCCTTTTATAGACTGGACTAGCTGTGGTAGGAGAGAAAACGGATTATATTGGTTGTTGTTTGCGAAAACCTCGGGCTATACATATATGCCCAGCTAGCTCGTTAAACATCCGTTGAGGATATCTACCAGTTGGTGTATGTTCCCAGCCTCCCTCAGTCCTATGGATTTCATCCTCACCCTCTAACCTGGCAATTATAACTGCTACGATCGTAAGTGCGATAGTTCGTGAGCAGCACGTAAGAGTGACGACATGTTGTGCAATAGGGCAAGTTCGTAGTCGCTCACCCGAGCTTTCCTACCCAGATAGGGGTGTACTGTTGTAAAGTAGACTGTAGAGGCATCTGTAGTAGGTAGTGAGGGAAGCACGTCCCACGCTGTGCAGTACGTTTCGATCCTGTGAGTTACGTTGTTTATGTTCGAGAACTGGCCACCAGTAACCTACGTAAGTTTTAGGTGTATGCGTTCGTAAGGAGTCAGGAACAATGAAACGAGGGTGTGTTTGTGAGGGGAAGTGGAATTGACCGAGCGGAGAGAGGTAGTTTTTTGAAAGATAGAAGGTATCCGAGGAATCGTATGGCTCAGCTCGGTAATGGATGAACCTCCGTGGCGACGCTAAGTCCCACGGAGATGGAAAGTTATAGTAAGTCCTCCGTAGCGACGCTAAGTCCCACGGAGGCACAGGTGGATAGAAAAGAGACCCTGTATTAAGTTGCTTGGCTATCTGCTAATCAACTAAAAATTTCCACAGAAATATTGTCTGATTAGCAGAGCCATTCACTGGAAGATACGGGGTAAAGGCGAGGCACGCGTCCTGGGGTCCCGACAGGCGATAAACGGAGGCACCGAAAGTAGACCAGATGCACTGGTTGAAAAGAGTAGAAATAAACATACATCAACATAACAGAATAAATGACAAAACAACATGATGTATATCTACTGAGTCCGCGGTAAAGAGGGTTAGAGAAAAAGCGGCTCAGTAGATCCACACATGTTGAAATGTATAGATATTTCAATAGGATGAGTAGAGAAAAAGCGGCTCAGTAGATCAATAACGATGATATGAGAGCACGAGTTCGAGCGCAATGGGAGGGTGGGAAGGGGAAAATAATGTGCGTATCATCGTATGGCTCAGCTCGGTAATGGATGAACCTCCGTGGCGACGCTAAGTCCCACGGAGATGGAAAGTTATAGTAAGTCCTCCGTAGCGACGCTAAGTCCCACGGAGGCACAGGTGGATAGAAAAGAGACCCTGTATTAAGTTGCTTGGCTATCTGCTAATCTATCTCGTTTTCCACAACACTAGCGAAAATCCGCGCGCCTCAAAGCCTCAAAGTTAATTTCCGCGGTGACACTGTGCGCAAAGGTACGTGAGAAATGTGGAATGGTAGTAGTAGTTCACATGGAGACGCATTCGAAAGGGAGATGTGGTCATCAGGTGAGTGGTTTAGGTTAGTCTATAATACCTTTGACTTGGTTGAGGAGGCTCAGTTGAGGGTGAAGGAGTTCTCGAGTAGCTATGCAACTATCTGAACTAAGTCCTAAATGCTGTTTTAAGGTTGTGTGGGGTCCTGAAATGCAGTTGGG